CAGTGGAATACTTCATTGTCTTATGTTCAAGGTAAAATCAAAAAGATGAATTATATTTTTTTTTTATATTATAAATAATATTTATTATATTTATTTTATATTTATATTTATATTTATATTTATATTTATATTTATATATATTTGGTAAATATAGATAGGTTAACCAAGGATATTGTATCAAAAAATAATACACAGTCATCAGGTATATGTAATAAATTTATATTATCTTTTGTTTATTTTTTATTAATTTTAATATAATGGTCATTTATATGGTTTTAATACAGGTACTGAGTTTGAATTGGAAAAAGGATGGGCATTGAAAAGCAAGCAAAGATCTGGAATAAGGGGAAAAGGAAAACGGATAACTAAGAATGTAAAATCTTATCTTGAGGGGTACTTTTTATCAGGTAATGTAAACAAAAGTAATCGGATGACAGCAAGTGAAATGGTAAGTGAACTTCAAATTTTAGCTAATGAGGGTGAAATCCAAGTTGAGGATATTCCTGAAGTAGCAACAGTTGCAAATTGGATTACACGATATGCAGCAAGTTTGAAAAAATTATCAGCGCAAAAGGTAAAAGAATCAATCAAAAATAATCAGAATAATTCAGCAATTATAGGTGTTATAGATATTAATCAAGGTGAAAAAATAGGTAGTAGTGGTAGTATTGATATTTATGAAAAAGATGATTCTCAAGGATTAAGTGAAGAGCCTAATGTGCATTTGAAAGGTAAAAAAATTTTTTTGAATAATGACAATTATGACAATAAACATTTAGTAAAACGTCATAAAAAATCATAAATATTATTTCAAAAATTTTATTACAATTCTTTCAACTATAATTTGTTTTTATTGAAAATTGTCAAATTTTTTTTTATTATTTTATTATATAAAGAATAATAAATTTATATTTATCTATTCCTTTTGGTGTTTCCTATACACCCATACATTGTTGTTTGTCTTTTTGTCTGTTTGATAACAGGCTTGCCCATTAATGTTTGGTAGACAATTTCATTTGCTTTGAGTTACAGCTTTATTGAACTTCCAGCCTAAATTGATCCATCTTTTTATAGAATGATTTATGTTAATAATGTAATTTCGTTGAGGTCTTTATTTTGATTTTATGGTTTTTTTCTTAGGTTTATATGTTTTTTGTGAAAAACTTGTCCATTTTGAATATAAAAAATTGTTTATAATATAATAATAAAAAAAGAGTAATTATTTTAACTGAAATTTCAAAATTTGAAAATTTTATTATATTATTAAATATTCAAAATCTCACGAACATACATAGAAAAGTTTTCAATGAATACTCCAAGCTTTTTAATTTTTTAGATATAATATTTTATGGGATTTGCTTTATTTCATACATAAAAAGAAATCACTCCGTAATACAAAAAACTAGTACTTTATTGTTTGTTAATTGACGATTTTTTTGAAATTTTGCCCCGCCGATCACCATTAAATTCTCTGGTTCATTCACGGATCGGCAATTAAGTATGTTTTTGCACAATTTTTGTTTAAAAATGCACCCGACTTTTGTCTAGTGAGTGTATATAATAAATATGATAGATTTTGGACTGAGTTTGATGTATCAAAAAAAATAATTATTGTAAATAAAAAAAAGATTTAATAACATTAATTCAACTGAAATTAATGCCATTACAAAGGTGAAATAAAATAATAATTTTTTAAATACAATTAATCATACATCTTTAACAAAACAAACATGACTTAGCTATTTAATCATTTCCTTGCATGTGAATGCCTCCATCCAATAAATATTCACAATGGTCATGATTATTATGTGATACATTTGATATCATCATTGATATAATAAACAATTGCATCACCCAGGTAGTAATGATACCAAGGCCACTCCATCCAATAAATATTCACAATGGTCATGATTATTATGTGATACATTTGATATCATCATTGACATAATAAACAATTGCATCACCCAGGTAGTAATGATACCAAGGCCATGCATAAATGAAACTTTTAATAATGCATGTCTACCCAGATCTCTGGGATTCACAAAATAAATTATTTTTCCTGATTATCAATTGTGGTTCCTTATGAATAATAAATCTGATGTTGATCACAGGTGTCAGATTTAATTAAAATTTCCCATCACAAACATGTGGTTATGTGCTTTCACACGCCTCATAACTATGGATTTTTTCCACAGGTGAGGTCCCCCACAAGTTGGAAGGCTTTGGACAAAACATTTCCCTATCTTCCCCTCAGACCAGGCTTGGATGTCACCATATGGGCATGAATATCAGCATTTGTGTGATGATTGCTGCATGTTATTGCCACACTAGCATAAAAGTTGGTGTTAAGACTGGGTTGAAAATTCTGCAACTCGGGAGGTTGCAACCTGGATTGCTGTTTTGGATTTTCCCTGAATTCAGAGTTTTGATTCCTGGGTTGCTGTAATTTTTATGAAAAGAAAAGTATTAATATTTAACATTTAATTATTTAAATGTTTATTTTGTTGAAAAAAAAATATACATTGATAGTGTACATTTTCTGTGCTTAACATCCATGTGACCCTAAGCCTGGACAAAAGATCCCTTTCTATGAGTTTGGCTGGTACATCCCAAAGGTGTCCCCTGTCTTGTCAGTGGCATGCCTACTCACCAACAACCTACCCCATTTACTAAAATAACAAATTCAGTTGGTCAGATAAAAATTAAAGATGTGACCCTAAGCCTGGACAAAAGATCCCTTTCTATGAGTTTGGCTGGTACATCCCAAAGGTGTCCCCTGTCTTGTCAGTGGCATGCCTACTCACCAACAACCTACCCCATTTACTAAAATAACAAATTCAGTTGGTCAGATAAAAATTAAAGAGAAGCAGAAAATTTGGGAAAATGTGTAACTTATAACATGCCAAAATCCGAACCATTTTATAACTTTTTCCTTGTTGGCCATATTGCTGACAAGGATGTATATAATCATGCAATAATTTTAACCTACAGGACAGAGGACTGATTGGGCAAAAACCCAATCCAGTCCCCTATTCAAAATCATTAAATTGGTTAAACAGAGAATTTACGAAAATGATTATACAAAACAAACACTATTTTACAACTTCCCTCTTAGCATCAGAGTCCAAATGAAATTTCAATGGCCACCAACCCTGCTCTGGATTGCGACCTCCTGTGCTTGAAACAAGCTGCAGATTCTTTTAATATTCATCTGCAGAGTTGCGACTTGGTCACAGTGCCATCCTTGCCTAGAGGCGGAATCGTTGCAGGCAACATTTCGGCCAGCGTGCCAGCAGCCATCTCTGGTCTGGGAAGATTAGTGAAAGTGTCATTGACGATTGGTGCAGTCTTGGTAAACTCCAGGACATGTCCACACCCCCCTGGAGTTCGGTAGCATCATTGTATCATCGGGTGACACTAGTCAGATTAGCCTTATGTACACGAGGAACAGGTGAATGACTGTAATGTGTTCAAGGCAGCGTGCGTGCGTGCTTCAACACCTGTAAATTTCCTGTAATCAAACATTGCATATTCGAAATGTCTCTTTTTTCAATGGTGTGCTGCCTTGATTTCTTGTATAGTAATATATATAATATTTATGATAATATTATTAATGGTCACGAAAAACAAAATATTATCAATGAAAATCTTGTAATTACCCAGCAAGATCTGCTCCGCGTTTTGATTTCCAATTAAAATATTTATTATAACCAATAAAGACAACAAATATATATATCAATACAAATAAAAAATAGTACCTCTGGTTAGTTATTAACACGTCTTCTTTAGGAGACCCAAACCAAACCAAACAACAACACTCACGTTTTGTCACCTTGGACTCTGTCAAAAAATAAATTGTTTTTCCAAGAAAGAAAAGAAAAAAAATCAATCAATTCGTGTCTGTCCTACCAGAAAAAAAAACCAATAGGATAAATAATTAGCGTGTACGTGTCGATCAAATAACAAACTTCTTTTTACATGCCACGTCAATCGAAAAGAACAAAAAACCAAGAAGAAAAAGATATCACTGGGTAAGTGTTTTAAGGATGTGGTGGTGGTTATCGCCCGCCACTCGTCATTACTCTAGTTCATATGGTTGACAATTGATCTCTTTTGTATTTACTTTTTAGTAATCTGAAGCATCATTCATCACGAGGAGGAAAAGAAAATGTTCAACCTCAAAGAATTTACTATGATGGTGACGATGACAAACATAAAAATAAAAATATTCTTTTAAAATATTGGACATACATGGCTAGAAAAAAAGAAAGTCCACATCTCTTCACGTATTTATTGTTTGCTGCAAAAAGTTCATTAATTAAATTAAATAATGATTTTGAGAAAGCAAAAGCTTTTTTAGTTGAACTTTATAAGACCAAAGAAATAAGTATTTTATATTATTTAATTATACAGAGTTGTTTATCATTATCAAAAATTGGAGTAAGTCTCATCTCTTTTGTTGATTATATAGGGCACTAATAAATACAATGAAGAATCAAATGATCCTAATGTACTAGAATTTTGGGATTTAGTTAAAATCACAATAAGTAATTATTCATACATTGAGTATTCTATGTTTGTAGACAAACAATCTAAACAATTTGGGATTAAAAACAATAAACGTGGATAATTTATTGAAAAAAAATAGAGCCTTACGTAGTTTATCAAAGGTAAATTTTCATTTTGTTTATTTGTTTTATATACAGTATATTAATTAAATATTTAATAATTATTACAGCTACAATATAAGGAGGATGTTAATCTAGTAACACGAATAATTGCAGGAAATATCAAAAATACAAAGCTAATAAAAAATGATCCACTTTTGTCAGGGATTATTGATGTAATATTTTTACAGAGTAATATTGTTAGTGAATTAAAGATGGGAAATGTTTTTGATGACGTAAATCAAGGCTTATCTATTGATGATCTTCCAG